ACGACCTAAGAAAATGTTTATCTCCCTGAGCTTGGCCTTCATAATTCCATTCCATCACATATGGTGTTTTAATGTCTTCTGGGAGGGGAGTCATACGACAGATGGACCATGCCATTGCTCAAAATCTTTATATGGCCAAGAATGTCCTACTGCCCTTCTCCACCTCATATGCAGCATAAAACTCATGAATAGATCAGGAACTGTGGACAGAGTTAGATCATTGTTTATGGACAGCTTTAAAAATTTCCCAATACATTGATAGTTTATTACATTAAACAAAAATTCTCCAATACATTATAGGAGAGAATTGAGAGACATAAAGCAAGGACCTTTTGGAAATTTGGAGTCCAGTTATAATTTTGAGGTGGCATACTGAGGCCCAGAAAACTTGTCCAAAACTTGTTACTTTTATCCAGAGACTCAGACATGTAGAAAGAAATGCACATTCACAATTTGTATCGTTTACTCCCTGAACTAAAAGCTCCACTCTTTCACACATTTTTACATTCCTGCCAAACTGAAAGTCTATCAGAATAGGCTAGGTTGGAATTCCAAAAGAATCAGTGTGGAAAGCGCACCATTAGTGGTATCTTGTTGATTGCACTGGCTCCTGAAGTTTAGAGTTGCCATGCATTTGTGTATCTTCCAACAAGGTTTGGCAAATACATCCAAGTTGGTCATTCCCATCTTGGCAGTTTTCTCACACCTCCCAGTACTTTTCTATGGTGTATTATTGCTTCACCCACTTCATATGCGAACAGTGTTGTTTTTGGAACTATTGTTCAGTACATGTCTTCTTCAAAGTCATCATTGTCCATATGCTGGGGAAGCTGAAATCTTCCAAAAGGAACCTTTTTTGCCTTGCTTTGTGCAAGTCTCAGATTCTCTATGCGCCACACAGATACGGACATAAAACTATACATCATCATTAACCCATGGCAATTATTCCATATTCTCACAATAATGCTTGCTATATGGTTAATTTATTCTGACAGCGGAGACTGCTGTCATGAGCAGAACAGATTTACTACTTTTGTGGTGGAGTTAGTGTGAGGTCCTCTCATAGGTTGCTCCCCATGTGCCAGGAATGCTGATTCTCTTCCCTTCCATTTCAGGGCACAGAGGTTCAGGTTGACGACATCAAGCGTGTGTACTCCCTGTTCCTGGACGAGTCACGCTCCACTCAGTACATGAAAGAATATCAAGATGCCTTTATGTTTAATGAACTCAGTGAGTAAAAGCATGAGTGAGGAATAATCAGAGCTCTCTCAGATTCAAGAACACCTTCCCCTGTAGCCAGCCATTTTTCCTAATGGCAACATTCATACACTGAGCTATAAAGCTTGGGTTAAAAAAGCAACACGCTAAACTATGAACAAGCAAAGTCCATTATGGCAGTGTGTTGTATGAACCCAATCGTTCTACTGAAATTAAGACAGCCAACAAGCACATACCACGTAATTACAAATAACTCAGCTCTTGACTTTAGCCAGGCCACCAAAGATGACTTTTCATTCCACATCCTAAGTTTGCTGTTTTTTTATGGTAATGTGAATGATTGAGCATGCACCAGAGTTTCCCATGGTGGAAAATCACCATATTGTGGTTTGTCTGCCAGAAAGTACAGAAGCTGCTAAACAGGACATGAAATGGGAATACAGAACAAGATGATCCAGGCTGGAGACTGCCAAGTATGGGCACATGGCCTTTTGATGCTGGTGCCTGTGGTTGGTGGCCCAGACTGTAGTTGGCTTACTAATAGCATTTTGTAAAAGAGTTCCACAATCACCTGGGATCCTGAGAAATTTCATGGAGTTGAAATTTTAAGAGGTCCTCTTATGATTGTTGAGGAGGATCCCCCACCCCCACCCCAGAAAAAATCATCTTGGTAGTGTTTCTCCATCTTGAAGCTTTTTTGTTTTTATTTTTCAGAGGGGGAGACCATGGATACATCATGATGGGGTTTGAATACCCAGATAAGACTGTGTGTGTGAATGGGTATTCCTTTATTGTTATTAGTTTTTTTATATAAATAAAGCTTTTAGTGAATTTCTGCTGTGTTTGAACTGGAAAAGTGACAAAAATCAGCATTTTTGTTATTTCAATAACTGTTTCCTCTCTGTGTCTATACTGTGCTGTTAATGGAAATCCGTTACAGTATTGCTCACTACTCTGTAAATATGGTGCTTTCCTCAAACAGATCTGTTAAATTCTGCAAGCTTTTCTTCTGCGACACGTTTTGGCTCTCTTAAAAGGATAATACTAATCAACCAAGAGCCAATTCTGTTGGCTTCTGTTGCCTGGCATCAGCATTTTCTCTTCCTTTTTTTTCAACCCATAAGATAGCCATGTTGTTGAGTGGAAGGTTTTGTAGGAAAAGACAATATCCGTTTGACTTTCAAAACTTTATTTCAGATACCTTCTAAGACATTTTTTCACAGAAAAGAGTCATTGTAGAAATGTCTCTGCCCCTTTTTAGAGTTTCAGCCCAATTACAGAGTTTTTATTTGACCAGCAAGGAGAGCTTACGTGCTTCATAAGCATGCCTTCTCTGGCAAAGGCAGGACAAAAAGACCCTGTCCAGTATTATACTGCTGGTTGGATGTCAGCCTTCTGAAAACTGCCGGTAAAGTGATTCCAAGTCGGAGTCTGTAAACTGAGGCACAAAATTAATCTTGAGGATTTCAGAGAAACCCTCCTCCAGGGATGGCTCCACATACTTACTCCTGTCAAAAAGAAAGATGATCATTAAGTGGAGTCCCCAGGGTGGGGGACTTTTGCAGTTTTATTTGGCCATGGTATTGGATTTTTGCAAGGATGGAAAGGGCCTGAGGAAGCAGCCTAAGGAAACTAAAGAGTCAATAGAGATAAAAGTAAAGAAAATGGGGAGATTTTATTCCCACATAACTCCCTGATTATATTTGGCAGGAAAAGCCTGTTTTTGACTTAACATCTTGAGAGCTGGTAATTAGCTTTTTAAATTCAGCTCTTGGAAATAAGTGTTACAGTTGCACAAATATATAATTCTGCTAAATCTTCAACAGAAGTAGCTTAGCAACTCTGGGAAGAAGAGTGGTTGCACAGAAAGAAATAGTTTCCTTTTCCTATTTCCCCTCTTCAAGACTTTCAGAAACTTACTTATAGGTGTTCAAGACAATGTTGTTGACAGGCACATGTTCTTTCTCTGTCATTTCCCGAAACTAAAATGAAAAAAGTAAAGCGCTCTAGTCAGCAGGACATAGAGATGGGAGAAATAAATTGGATGACACTTAATTTTTAAGACAAATACAGGCAGTCCTCGACTTATGACAGCAATTGGGACTGGAATTTCCAGCACTAAGCAATGCAGTCGTAAAGCACAACCGCATCACTTAGCGATGGCAATCCCTGCTGTCCCGGTTGCTATCATTAACCAAATTCCATGGTTGTTAGGCGAGGCAACTTCCTGCCGGTTTCCCACAGCCAAGTCAGTGGGAAGCTGGCAGGAAGCTGCAAGTCCAAGCAGCTTGCAAGTAGGCCAGGAGGCAGGTAAGTGGTTGCTGCCAGGTAGGAGAGGGTGTGAGGGTGTGTGTGAGGGTGCAAGGGAGGTGTGGCAAGGCTCGGGGAGAGTGTGAGGGGATGTGAGGGAGGCATGGCGAGGGTCAGTGGTCCAAAAGAGGGTGCGTGGGAGGTGTGGTGAGGGTTGGGGAGGGTGCACAGGTGTGTGTGTGGCCGCTGCAGTGTGAGCATAGAGGGGCTGGGAGAGGGCGCATGGGTGGGGGAGACTTACTCCAGCGACTTGTGACCTTCCCTGCCGGCTTCCCCATTGGCTTTCTGGGGAAGCACCAGGGAAGGTCACAAATGGCAAACATGATCGCGGGGCACAGCAACTGGTCATAAGTGCGAGCCAGTTGCCAAGCACCCAGATCACAATCACGTGATTGCAGGGATGCTGGGACAGCCGGAACTCCAAGGACTGGTTGTAACCACCATTTGTTCAGCACCACTGTAATTTTGGTCACTGAATGAATGGTTGTAAGTCAAGGACTATCTGTACACATAGAGAGGGACAGTAGAACATCACTTTAGAGAACACCAGATACTGTGTTGGCTTGTAGGATAAAGGATTTTCAGGAAGGGCTTTGGCAGAGCTTATAAGACTCTGGAATCAGAAGATCTTTCACCTTCAAAGACAGAATACCTGTACTAAGAGAAAATGTAAGCTACCAACTACATTCATCTTCAGGTAGAAATGCACTTTACAGCCAAAAAAAAAATTTTTTTTTTAGGGATATACAACTATTCAGATTCAATGTGGGGAAGGTGTGTTGGGCATACCCACTGTACTGGTCAGTGGTTCTTGAAGCACCTTTCCCTCTTCAGATCTGAATAGTGGCACATTTCCAATATGTACATTACAGAAGGTATATACAGCTTATATATTTCTGGAGAAGCCACAATTTATAGGTAGCCTGCTGCTGCCCTGTGCCAGTGCTAATGGAAGTTAGCCTCCTGGTTGAGTTACAATAGTAACAAAGAAAAATCCTGCGACCTTGATTCACTACTCAAAGGGGAGTGGGAGGGTAGGGATTGAATTCAAAGAAATTTGCTTTCCCAACTGAAGAAGAGTAAAGAAGTATGTCATAGTATAAGGCAGTGTTTCTCAACCTCAGCAACTTTAAGATGGGTGGACTTCAACTCCCAGAATCCCTAGCCAGCATGGGGGATTCTGGGAGTTGGTCCACCCATCTTAAAGTTCCTGAGGTTGAGAAACAGTGGTATAAGGTACTTACTCTGTTGTTATGCTTGGCTTGTTCTAACGAGGCAGTAAAAAGGAAGCAGCGGCAGGGAATGTTGGCCTTCTTAGCACACTCAGTATACCTAGGTAGGGGAGAAGCACGATCATTTTTCAAAGTGTCTGATCGTTTCCCATCCTTGAACTTGCAGCTTAAACCATAACTGCTAAAGGGAGGAACCTTACCTGTGCCTTGATTCTAGGTCAGGGTTGGTATTATCCACTACTACACTCTTTCCTGCTTGCAATGACGTTTCACACAATGACACACATTTCTTCCATGAACCAAGGGTGTCCTGATGGGGAGAAAGGCAGGATGCATGGGAAGGGAGGAAGCAGTAAAGCATGGTGAGACGAGTTTTAGCTCTCCGTTGCTTACCTGGTTGACATAAACATATCCAACTGAGGCCAAATGTTGCTTCAAAAAAGTTGATTTGCCAGCTGGAGTGAAGAAAAAAAAGGAAGCTGGAGATAGAAGCAGTATGAACAATGGGGTAGAGCAAGGATTTTAAAAGTCTAGAGCACTCAAGGGACATCAGCAGTACATGCCTTAATGTGTGTATACATTTCTTTAAGATGGCATCCATGATCCTCGCAACATTCACAAGTAATAGGTACTGCTTTTACTTTCTGGGCAAGACTCCATCTGACTAGTAAGTTTTGGCAGACACTGAAAAACTTGAAGAAATCAGACCAGGAAGTAGCTTCAATTACCATGAGCTCCCCTAGCATTTTCTAACAGGGCTGTGTAGTATTCCAGATTCACACTGGAAAACAGGATTCAGATTTGATGTGGGGCTCATCCTGGAGCTTCCTTAAAACAAACATGGATTTTCTTGGAACTTTAAGGAATTGCCAACAGTGTGCACCCCACGTGAGTTCCAAATCACTGTTTCTCTTTTGAAACAGGACTGCTGCACAGTCTTCATTTCTAGACACCGAGACTGCAAGGGAAATGTGTTTTTTTCAGAATATGCCTATTCTGCAGCACAAACCTCTATTGAGGTACAGACTTGCCATCTCATTTTCCCTTCTTGGCTAACCAAAGGAGAGAAAAGCTTGAAGAAGTTTCTTCACACAACACATTTAACCCATGGTTAAATGAACTATGGTTTACTGAATTAACCAAATTCCAGGCTTCATACCACACTCTATACTAGCCAACTACTTTCTAGACAAACATGCACGAATCCCATTGAATGGTTGTGACAATGGTTGTGACTCTGGGCTCACCACTCAAGAGCCATATGGAAATCTGGCAGGTGACAAGACCAAACATTCAGAGAAGCTCTGCCCCTGATTCCAAGATCAGAAGAAGACTTCATGTTCTGCATACCACTGTTCTCCCATTAAACCCAAAATCTGAAGATGCTGCTGCATGAATGCTGAAGTGCAAAGGTGATCACTTACCAGCAGGGAAGCCAACAGCCACAACCAGCTCTGGGGAGGATGAGATCAGGCAAGCGCTGGGGGGATCATAGAGCTGAGCTTTGGCATCTATCGCCCGCTAGTTTGGGGGACAGAGAGGAAAGCAGTGTTATAATACTAGAATACAAACTTGGATCCTAGATGTGCTCTGCAAATCTTGATTGTGCCTGATTTTTTGACCTGTTCCCCTGGTTTTGCAGCTTGCCAGATCTTACTGGGCCCAGTGTTAGCGGAGTAGGTGAAAAACCACACATTTTTCAAGAAACAGAGTATTAATATAATGTGAATATAAAAGAGTACAGAAGGTTTTCTTCTTCCATTCCAAAATTGTTCCACCAAGCAGCAGATAAAACTACTTTATTGCCATAGTTTTGCATTTGGCTATGACCCTATTGCCTACGTTGCCTTTGTAAAAAAGGTATTTTAAGGACAGAGATATATAACATTTTTGCACAACTCAGAGATGGAATGCTACATGCTGCAATTCTGTAGTTTTCACTGGAAGTACATCCAAAGATTCCTTGTACCAGAATAGTTCTTATGTCACCCATAAAATGAACCAAGTTTCAAGCAAATGTTTCTATGGAATGCCCTAAAGTGACTTCCTGTCTGCATGTCCTGTCCCAGCCTCCTTAAGACTTCTTTGAAACTTCCATAAGGCACGGGCCAATAACACACTGCACACTTTGCATTACACACTTAGGAGTATATAAACCTTAGAACTGAAATCTTCTGCAAGGCAAAGTGCTATGCTCATAACTAGAGTAAATGTACCAGTTCTGTGCTTGGAGCAAAGGTATGGGTTGTATTCTGAAGATTTTCTCAAGCCACTTTACCAGCTCTCTCTCCTTCCATGTTAATATCTTTTGTGAGGATTAGAGGAATACAGATGAATTGCAAGAGCCATTAAAATAAGAAAATGTCCTTAGAGGGCTTAGTATATACAGTATTGCCTTTTCATGAATGTGAAACCGAAAGTGCATTGCACTGAATTGCTTCCCTGTTTCCAGCTGGGTATTGACCCAGATCCAGCTTCAGATTCAACAAACTTGGGATTTAGTATTATTTTGGACAGTTTTTGGTTTATTGTTAAAGCTGAACCAGGAATTGTAGTTTAAAATAATGCCTAATTTGTTAGACAGAGCAGTGTTTGTAGTTGCCTTTTTCAACAATTCATTATTTTAAGCTGGTGCAGCTTCTAGATGATCTCAGCTTATCTTGACAAAAAACTAAGCGGGCTTGGATCTAGTCAATATTTTAATTATCTTCAACTTCCCAGAAAATGGGAAGATGAACATCCCAGAAGAAAACAGTGGCAACTGCTTGTTGCCAAAAAACTGCATGATGACCTCATATAGTCACCAGTTGAGCTTGACCTCTGGGAGTCTCTACCTTTTTTAGAGTTTATTTTAAGCAAAGGTGCTTGGGTTGCATATTAGGAATTGGGGAAATTGAAAGTAAATCCAATGTATTCTCTGCCATGCAGGTGGAGAGAGAATCTAGCTGGTCTTTCTTCATGCGCACCATATTAATGTGGTAAGGAATACAAGATGAGGCACACAGACTGCTCTGAATGGTCACAAGTGGCCCACAACTCTAGAAGCTGGAAGAGAAGCTGGTTTAAAAGAGAAAGAGACTTGACTCACGGGATCAAAGTCGGGGAGTGCAAATGGTGCCTGTTTCCAGCCCAGGAAATACTCTTCAGGGGTGTGGAAGGGAAGCCCAACATTCAAAGCAAACTGTGTGGATAAGCAGGACAGCTATTAATGGGGGGAAGGAGATAAGCATCAGATGAGAATGGCCTGCTCTCGGGCCTTCTGAAGATACATGTGCTCAAATGCAAGTACACCCAGTTTGCCTCTGATCCTGTTCATTTTGCTTCATTGTTTCTAGGTTTGTTAGAAATCTCAAACTGGGGCCAGGAAGGAAATAACCTTTCACCTTCAGAGATCTCACTACAGCAGTGTTTCTTAACCTCTGCAACTTTAAGATGTGTGGACTTCAACTCCCAGAATTCCCCAGCCAGCATGGCTGGCTGGGG